TATTTCGTCGATCTTTTGCAATTTTCCCGGTAACCAGCAACATTTTAACGTCACTAATGGATAGCTAGTGTATTGTTTCCGTGGGGAATCAATTTTTTCGGACAAAATCAACCTAAAGACGCCTTCCGAACCCTTTATTTACCGCGGTATAGATCGTTTTCACTGTCACGCAATAAAAAAATAAATCGAACCATCCAGCTAAGAAATTTTGATGTTATAGAAGATAACTAAATAAGACACTTCTCCAAGTTTTAGGCCTGTGCATTTTCTCAAACATCAGATATTCGTCGAAATATTTTGCGGAAATTTACACAGCCCAGTATGAAAACGCCATGTTGGTGTACATCCGTGGTACACCAATATCATAATGGCGGCCGGAAAATAGTGCAAACATCTGGATCTTACTTTGGCTGGGCGACTGATTATCAGTACTGAACAAACAAACATTTACACAAGCGCCTTTCCTAATGCTCTAACTTCTAAAAAGGCTCAAAAGCATGAGATAAGTACATTTTTTCAACAGACTTGATCGTAGCCTAGTTTCACGCACTTCCATAACCCTGAAATTTAAAATGCTCTGGTTTCCAAACGAAGCAGGCGATTGAGCTGTAAGATTGTAAAAAGATATAAATATACCGCCTCTTATGCCTGATGAGGATAAAAACTTTGGTGGCTCTTTAGTTTTGGACTTTAGAAAGTGATGATGTCACGTGAAAACGATCTATACCATGTATACAAGAAATTTCGGTGCGAAGACACATTTTTTTATCACAAACACTCTTTACATATAGCATCCATTTAAGCAACCGACCGAATATATAAGCAAGAGAGCCTCTCAGCAGGAAGGGGGAGACTTGTTTCTTAACAGTGAAATGCCGAAAAAAATTCAGGCTTGCTTAAGTATAAATAAATCGTCCGAACGACATCCGCCGCTCTTTCCAACCATTGTGAAAATTATCACCTGAGGCTAGGGATGCGCAGAAAGCTACGCAGTTCGTTTTTCCGCTCTGAATAGTTGGAACGATTCAATGGATTTTCTCTCTGTGTGTGAAATAACAGCCTTCAGTAATTGTGAAATCAAGAATAGAGAAGCACTACTAGGAATATGTAAGACGATGATGCAGTAATTTAACGGCATCTCTGGTACAAAAAAGTCGTTTTTGCTCTTATTTGAAAAAATTTAAGTCAGTCATTTTATCTAAAGTTTACAAAAGAGAAATAATAAAAATCTCAAAAAGAGGCCGAGTTATTTAGAAAAAACTCGGCAAATAAAGTTAATAAACCAGGAAGGTGAATGGAGTTGTTTACGAACCTTTATGAGTTAAAATCTCCTATTTGATTTGGGAGGAATACATCCACTTTGAGCGAATTTATAAGTATGCAGATTTGATGGATTTTCATGAAATTTCGCCAGAACATTCCAGGGATAATGACAAACGAAAATGTGTCGGGAAATTTGGATATTTAACATATTTTTCCCGTGGCGTCCATTTACGCAACACGTCTCAAATATTTTTAGCTACTCCAACTTTAGATGCGGACATCTAGACAACCAATCAGAATATCGAAAAAGCCCGACACCCTTTTGTTGATTGATGCCTTGTGAACAAGACTGTGCAGCCATTTTGCTGGAATGGCGGCATCCGATAACCGACAAAATCAATAGAAGAACCCCCCGGGGGCGGCACTACCATATATTGGCTATATTGGTATGTGCCGCTGTGAAGGGTATGGTTTTCAAGCAGTTTACTCTAGGATAGGGTATATAAATCAGAGCGTTTGGGTCTAGAATAGGGTATAATTTTT